ACGAGGAGATAGCGGATCCTATACTCCTCGCTATAGTCGCTAAGTTAATCTTCGAGCACTACGAGCTTAAGGGCAAAGCTTTAGACTAACTGTCCCTTACGCTAACGGGCCGCCTTATACTCGAGGGTTACGTCTAGTATACGGTTTATAGGGTCCCCGACGCAGTCCCGATAGAAGGTTTTAAAGTCCTAGTAGGTGTAATTTTACAGGTCCTTAAGGCTGTTTTTATTGTACTATCGCTCCTACGTATCGCCTACGAGGTATATAATACTATAAAGCACCTTGCTTTCGTCCGTATAATAGGTAGCTCCGGATAGTATAAAGGTAATAGAAAGTTCTCTAAGGAATCGCCTCGACTCCTTAATTGTATCGCCTTTAAAGGGCTTAGGTTCCTTTAGGCGAGGCTTAATAGCCGTAAGACTAGCGACTACGTAGCTTATACTAGGCATAGTAGCTATGCTTAGCGTACTTTCGGAAAGAGGTAGTCGATACGAGACAGATTTAGCTCTCTAAGATTTAGGCCTCTAAATCGACTCGTTAGCTAATTCTTCCTCGTCCTTATTATTATCGTCGCCTAGAGGTAGGGTTATCGTAGGACCCTCGCCGGCGGTACCGCTGCTCGGAGCTAGCGTATCGCCTACGTCCCTAAGGGTACGAAGACGCGCATTCTCTCGCTTAGCTTCTTAAGCCTATACTTCTAGCCTAAGTACTTCTTACTTAGCTAGAAATCGTTCGAGCCGTAGGCGGGTTGCTTCCCGGCGCGCCTAATATTCGGCCTCGTATTATTATATCGCCGCGTCGTTTTCTAATGCTATAGGCGCTCCTAATGCATTATTCTACGCGTTTCCCGCGCCTGGCGCGTTCGGATCGCTTGCGTTTATCTTTCGGGGTTCTATAGGCCGCTACGAAGGGTAGACGGTTTAGAACTATAAGGAAATAGGTATATAGCAACGTATAGAATACCCTCTACTAATCGCCGTAGTAGAAAGTAGAACTAAACCGTACCTTTCTTAGAACAGGGTAGAGTGTTTACTATTAACTAGGCTACGTACGGATAGTATATATGCCGAGCTAGCAACCGAGCATATCTATATAAGCGACCGAGCTTTTCCGCGTATACGCTAAGCAGGCTTTACGCTAGCGAGACAGTACCGCAGTACATGTAATAACATTACATAATTGTTATATAGGCTTACTAAGGCATAATAGGAGACTTCACTTGCTTAGGTTCTTATAATAAGACTATACTACTATAGTAGATGCGCGCCGAGCGTTAACAAACGCGCTATAACTATTAACTAATCGCCTGCTCTTTTAAGGGATCTACCTCTTTACTAGCGCAACCTATAAGACCCTTCTCTTAGCGCCCCCTCTTATTCCTTCCTTCTATTAGGGCCTTAATGCCTAGGCGATCTGCAAGGACGGCGCGCGTATAAACGGTAATAATAATAATAACGACGGCGCGGCCGGCGCGGCTATATTAGTAATAGTATTATAGAGTGTGTTGCTGTTTAAGAAAGGAAGGATATAGCTATATTAGTAACGGTATTGCCGAGTTGTTGTTAGTTAAAGAAGGAAACTAGAAGAAGGTAAAGTTAGCGCTAAGACGACTAGCGCCGCTATTATTAACATTACTTGCTATTATCGCTGCGCCTATAGATATAACCTTACCTATACTACGAGCCGGAGCGCACCCTACTAGCTAAGTTAAAAGAATAGCTATATTAAAGGTTTAATCAAAACTTTAATTAAAACTTTAAGCCGCTCAAAAGATTAAGCGACTAATAGACTAACTAACTAAGGGCAAAACTATAGAGCTAAGCTAGCCGGAGTCGATCTTGCGGATAATAGGTTACTCCTCGATCTATCTAACCCTTTAAGCGAGGCGAACCTCTACTACTGCACTTATAATAGCCTTTACCTATAGAAACTAGAAGAACTAAGTTTTTTAAAAAGATATAATTAGTTAACACTTAAAGGCTGCCAAACCTAACTAATTAGGGCTAGCGAAACTACGAATAATAATAGCCCTCGTAATAACAAGAACAATAACCCTCGGAAGCGGACAAACCCTCGGAAGCGGATATTACTAGGTCTTTTAAGAGTAGACGCAAAGAACTCGGTACGACATTACTTAGAGCGGAGGCAGGGCTGCAATACCTCGTACGTCTACCTATTACAGTAGGGAAGACGCGCTCGTATTGTAATTAGTCGAAGGCCCTTAATTCTTATAGATACATATTACTCTATAGTTTATTATATATAGGGATAGCGTAGTTAGAGTTAGACATTATGCTAAAAGTAAGGTTTAATATAGTTATATAATTAGGTAGTTAAGTGTTTAATTTAGCGTAGCTAAGCAGTTTATTAGACTTGCTAAGTTAGTAGCAACGGAGGTTAAGGTTAGAATATAGAAAGGCTACGAGGGCGCGGCCTTTAGAAGGGAAGCGTGTATTAGAGGCTATACGTAATTGGCATGTAACTAGCTCGAGTAAAGCTAGGGTCTTAGTGCCTTAGGCAGGGCTTAGCGCTTAGCGTTAGGCTAACTAGCCTACCTTCCTTCTTCTCCTCCTAGTTCTCTATTAAATACTACCTGTACCTACTACTACCCTATCTACCTACTAACATACCCTTCTTACAAGTCTATAGAACGTATCCTAAAGCACCGGACTAGACAAGGCAAGAAGGAGTACCTATTAAGGTAGCAAGGCTATTCGCCTAAATAGGACTCGTAGGAAGCTAAAGGTTCTTTTAAAGATATAACTAAGTTGTTAGATAAGTATTAGACTAGTATAAAGAACAAGAAGAAGGCTAAGGGCCTATAATATCGCCTAGGAATAATACTACCCCCGGGGTGCTATTAGCTAACTAATTAGAGGCAAGCAATTATTAGCAATAAAGGACAATAAGACTATACTAGGCGCGCTACGACGCGTTAACTAATTGCCTGCTCTTTTAAGGACTCTACCTCTTTACTAACGCGCCCTATAGGTCCCCCTCTTATTCCCTTATTCTATCGAGGCCTCGAGGCCTAGGCAATCGGCGAGGACGACGCGGCCGGCGCGGCTATATTAGTAATAGTATTGCGGAGTGTATTACTATTAAGAAAGGAAGGATATAGCTATGTTAGTAACGGTATTGCCGAGTTATTATTAGTTAAAGAAGGAAATTAGAAGAAGGTAAAGTTAGCGCTAAGACGACTAGCGCTGCTATTATTAACATTACCTACTATTGTCGCTATACTTGCGAAGACAACCTTACCTATACTACGGCCTAAGGCCGGAAGTGCGCTATACTAATCGAGTTAAAAGAATAGCTATATCAAAGGTTTAATTAAAACTTTAAGGCCGAGTTAAAACTTTAACTAAGTTAAAAGATTAAGCGACTAATAGACTAACTAAGGGCAAAAACTATAGAGCTAAGCTAGCCGGGGTCGATCTTGCGGATAATAGGTTACTCCTCGATCTTTCTAACCCTTTAAGTAAGGCGAACCTTAACTATTACACTTATAATAGCCTTTACCTATAGAAACTAAAAGAACTAAGTTTTTTAAAAAGATATAATTAGTTAACACTTAAAGGCTACCAAACCTAACTAATTAGGGCTAGTAAAACTACGATAGTAAATAATAGTCCTCGTAATAATAAGAATAATAACCCTTGGAAGCAGACAAACCCTCGGGAGCGGACATTACTAGGTCTTTTAAGAGTAGACGCAAAGAACTCGGTAAAATATTACTTAGAGCGGAGGTAGGGCTGCAATACCTCGTACGTCTACCTATTATAGTAGGGAAGACGCGCTCGTATTATAATTAGTCGAAGGCCCTTAATTCTTATAGATATATATTACTTTATAGTTTATTATATATAGGGATAGCGTAGTTAGAGTTAGACATTATACTGTATTAGAGGTAAGGTTTAACATAGTTATATAATCGGTAGTTGTACGTTCAATTTAGCGCGGACTAAGCGGCCTATTAGACCTACTAAGTTAGTAGTAATAGAGGTTAAGACTAGAATAAAGACCGGCTACGAGGGCGCGGCCTTTAGAAGGGAAGCGTATATTAGGACTAAAGAGGTTACACGTAATTAGTATATAACCGGGCTCGAGTGAAGCTAGGGTCTTAATGCCTTAGGCAGGGCTTGGCGCTTAGTAATAGGCTAACTTGCCTACCTTCCTCCCTCTCCTTCTAGCTCCTTATTAAATACTACCTATACCTACTACTACCCTATCTACCTACTAATATAACCCCTATTACAATAGCCTATAGTAGATAGATAGATATAGCACTCTAAGATATTATAGCATCTTAGTAAGCAAGGGTCTACGTAGAGATAGCGAAAGGTAGTAAAGTATAAGACTTAGAATACTCTCTATTATTAATCTAATAGTAAGTAATTAGCGTTCTAACCGGTCGAGTAGTATAGTCTATAATTAATCTAATTAATCCGGACCCCTCTAAATTAAATTAGATTACTAGGACCCCTAGATTAGATTAAATTAGATTGCTTTAATAGGGGCTAAATTAGATTAGATTAGATTACTTAATTAGTAGGACTAGGCGAGATTAGATTAGATTAAATTACTAAGCCTACCTAATTTAGCCCTTTAGCCCCTTCTAGGGGGGGAATTAAATTAGATTGCTTTAGAAAGTTTAAAGGGCTAGATTCAAGATTAAATTGAATTGCTTTAGAAAGGGGCTGGATTGAATTGAATTAAATTGCTTAGTCAGCAGGAATAAGCCAGATTGGATTGGATTGAATTGCTAAGCTAATCTAGATTGCAATCCCGGATTGATTGTGGACTACACTGCGGTCGAGAAACTTCTCATTTGATATGCAGTCGTCACTTCTTAACATTGTCTACGCCGGCTCCGGGCTGAGCTTGCTTGTTCGGCCCGAGGCAACTAGGCCTAAAAGTCTTGAACAGGTTCTACTGTGTACCTATATGTACTCTTTCGATCAACCTTACAATTGGCATCCCAACTGCCGTCCCGTAACATGTCTGGAACATGGCAATCAATTGCAGCTCGCAAGCAGCAGGAACGAGCCTCTCGTATCCCCGAAGCGTGGCGTTTGACGGCATCTCAGGTCGATGGCAGCGGTAGCAATGTTCTCGACGTGCCTAGGACCTGCGGCCTTCTCCTCGACTCTGAGCTCAAAATAACTGAGGATTACGATGCCACCAGCCTGCTAGGAGAACTTGCAATTGGCAGTTTGAAAAGCGAGCACGTCGTTCGCGCCTTCTGCAAAAGAGCCGCGCTGGCACAGCAACTCACGAACTGCTTGACCGAGATCCTATTTGAAGACGCGCTTGCACGAGCCAGGGAATTGGACGACTATCTGGCAACTCACGGCCGGCCTATAGGACCATTGCATGGCTTACCGATATCTTTAAAAGATACATTCAAGATACGAGGCTATGATGCTTCTATTGGCATCGCAGGCTTGTGCTTCAAGCCAGCAACGAGCAATTCTGCACTCGTAGATCTGCTACTATCTCTGGGTGCAGTGCTATTTTGTAAGACCAATGTGCCGCAGGTAATTTGATTTCCGAAGGGTGTCCTGCAAGAGTTGGTGCTGACATCCTCGATCTTGCACTAGACTATGATGGCCCTTGATAGTCATAACAATGTGTTTGGTCGAACTCTCAATCCGGCCAACAAGAGGCTGACCGCTGGAGGCAGCTCGGGTGGCGAGGGTGCTCTCCTAGCTATGCGAGGGTCATTGCTTGGTGTTGGTACTGACGTGGGAGGCTCTGTGCGAATCCCCGCTGCATGCAATGGGTTGTTCGCTGTAAAGCCTTCTCACGGCCGGGTGCCATTCGCAGGGCAAGAAGGTGGGACCAAGCCAGGATCCAGTAAGCTCGGCATCGAGGCCACTGCTGGCCCCATGGCCACCAGCTTGAGAGATTGTGAGCTGTTCCTGCGAGCCGTGGCAGACAGTCAACCCGAGTCGTTTGACCCAGATGTGGTGCCTCAAACGTGGGAGCGGCAAGTGCCATTGGATACGTCAAAGCCCCTTCGTGTTGGTATCGTCCGGACAGATGGGTTAGTTTTCCCAACCCTGTGCTCTCTCCTGATCAAGAAGAATTAGCTAATCGCTCATGCTCTTGATGCACCAGACAAACCAAGCCTCTTCCACCCATAGAACGATTGATGGACCGGGTTGCACGGACCCTTCAGGCATCAAATAGTTCCATCGAAGTCGTAGACGTCGATGCATCTAAGATCCTGTCTCAGGCCCTGAAGACCTTGAATGGCATCATTTCTATTGATGGAGCCAACTCCTGGTTTGACCATCTCGAAGCAACGCAGGAACCTCTCTCTCCGTGGTTGAAAGCGCGCCTGACTAGGAGACCTGAGAAGTCATTGGATGAGGTCCGGAAGCTACAGGCACAGAAGCTCGAGCTGCAGACAGCCTTTCTCGAAGTTTGGAAGATTGCGGACGCCAACAGAGCGAACGACAAGCGTGAAACACTAAATGCGCTCATTATGCCGGTCGCTCCACATCCTATACTGCCCATTGATCGATGGAATACGGTATGAAATTAAGCGAAAGCGAGTTCTAGCCGTCTGCTGTGTGCTGATCTTATTATAGGTCAACTACACAGCTTCTCTCAATCTTCTTGACGTTTCAGCAGGCCTTCTCCCAGTTACCCATTTCAGTATGAATGATGCCGATGGTGATGTGCCGACATCAAAGCCCATCAACGGCTGGGACAAGATCAATCGCGAACACTGGACACAGGTCGATCGTGGAGAGTACATCGGAAGTCCCATGAGCATTCAGGTTGTCACGCCGCGCCTACAGGAGAGGAAACTGGCCGAGACCATGGCCATTCTGCATAAGGTGTTGGCACCAATGCGCCAACACAAGGGGCAGTCCGAAAGCAAATTGTAGCATGACGACTCAGCCTTCTCACACCCGGTAGATAGTGGAGATGACACCTCCGTACCGGCATAGCAACGAGCACGGCTGCAGATAGGACAAGTGGTGCGCCACAAATCGTGCATCGCCATGGTATTACCCTGCTCTGCCCTGTCTTCGTGGTAAAGCCGAGCCGACACCTTATTTTGAGGTGAGCGAGAGGCTCCAACAAAGATTTGCACGCACCGGAAGACTCCATTTTCAGGGTATGGCTATCCCGGCTGAGTGGCAATGCTCTATATTCTCCTCCCCGCGCGTTCCTTCAGTTAATGCCTAAAAGCAGCGGAGCAATAGTGAAAACCATTGGTAAGCTGCGGCTTTCATAAGCCATTTGAAGACCGCCAACAGTGCCTGTTATGGTCGCGTGCAACCAACACCGCGCATAGCCACGCTGAAAAAAAGCAGCCATTATCGCTACCTAGACTCTCTATCCTAAGGACTCGAGTGCTTTCAAGGTTTTCTAGAAGGAGGATATCGGGTCCCGCAGCGATCTCGCAGGTAGTAAGTGAGTTAACTAAGACTAGGGTCCCGTTCGGTCGTCCTATTATCGTAGGTCCACTTTATTTAGATAACGCTGTCTACTACTATAATAGCGGTCTGTTCGGTTGTCGTCGTTATCGTAGTATATTATCGTGTCTAAATAACACTTCTTAAACTAGCTAAAGTAGATACTTATTTAACTCTCGCTTCTATACCTAAATATAGTATAGTATACTAAAACTATAGTTATCTAGCAAACTCGATCCTTCTGCTTAGTTAGCAAGATATTACCTGTTTCTTAGCCCTACGTAATGCCGCAAGACCGTAATAAGGAAAGGCGTAGTAGTAGTAGTAGTAGTAACTCTAGTAAGGAGGTAGATCTAGCGGTAGGCGCCGGCGTACGTATATAGAAGGTCGCTCGAAGGAATACGTTATTAGTAATTATTATAGTGTCGCTCTTAATCTAGTAGTACGTAGAGGTTATATCGAATAGCGTACGGTCGGTATATATAGACGAGAATAAGGGCGAGCGGTTTATATATAAGTTGCTAGACGGCGACGAGTAGCGTATATATCGATACTATCGGTTTACTCTAAGTTAGTTTCTCGAGCTATATAGTATAATCTTTAAGGATAGCGATACGGTTAAGCGCAGCGGAAAGGAGGTACCTATATTGTCTAATAGCAAGAATATTAGTAGCATTTAGAAGCTGCTTATCTTCCTTAATATAGTAACGAAGGCGCGTCTATATTACGATATTGCCGAAGACTTCTACTATTCTATATCGACTATATCGGAGATAGTCTACGAAGTACTAGAAGCGCTCTTACTACTATATAAGAAGCTAGTTAAACTAGCGAGAGCGGAAGACTCGCTAGCGATAAAGCGACAAGGAGGCAAATATTAGCCGTTCTTTAAGGACTGCGTCGGCGCACTCGATAGTACTAAAATACCGGCCTTTATTAGAACCGAAGAACAGCATCGTTTCCGCGACTATAAGGGTGCTATATCGCAGAATGTGTTAGTAGTAGATAACTTTAACCGTTAGTTTATATTCGTTCTACCTAGATAGGAGGGCTTAGCGCACGATAGTACTATATTAAATAATGCTATCTCGAGGTATAGATTCAGCGCTCTAGAAGGGAAATATTATCTCGCTAACGCTAGTTATAGCAATACTAATATTACCCTCGTACTATTTCGGAGCGTTAGATACTACCTAAAGGAGCAATACGAGGCTCTCGATAAGCTATAGAATAAGTACGAGCTGTTTAACCTACGGCATTCGTCTCTTCGTAACGTTGTCGAGCGGATCTTTAGTATTCTTAGACGACGGTTTAAGATCTTCCAAACAGCGCCGGAGTTTAACTATATTATATAGGTTAAACTAGTATACGTGTATACTGCGCTCTATAACTTCCTAACTAAGAAGGGCAGTTTATACTAAAAGAAGATAGCTCTATAACGCGATAAGACCTGCTATTTTAATAGACGAGGGCCTAGTATCGATAGAATAGATATTAACCGCGAGGTTAACGAGATAGAGGCCTTTAGAGACTTAATAAGCGAGGATATGTTCCTTAAATATCGAGGATATATAATAGTAAATAGTAACAATAAATACGGGAGCGAATAGATAGGTAAATAGGAGGACGGGGATATAGTAGTATATAGTAAATAGTACTAAAATCTAGCCTCTATCCTCTGCTTGCCCTATTCGTTGCCCTTCGTTATTATCTCGTCGGTTACCTCGAAATACTATACGTCTATTCTCGCTTAAAAGTTAAATAGTCTTAGCGTTTTAGTATAGATCTAAGAGAGGACGAAGTAGTCTAAGTAGAGCACGAAGCAGTAGGAGTAGAGGATTCAAAGCCCGTTTACTATAGCGTTTCCGATAGGGTCTCCTCTTCTAAACCGCTCTACTACTCCGCCGTTGCTCCTACGTCCTCTTCTTTATCTCGACTAAATATCTTTACGATAATCTCTTTAATCTACTTAACCTGCTTATCCTTAGTACTTCTAAGAAACAACGATACCTCGCCCTTATTAATTAACTTCCTCGCCGTAGCCCTACGATATCGCATTGCCGGCTAGCGGTCTGTAAAGGCCTTCGTTCTTAAGACGAGCGCGAGTCGCTCGTAAGCGTTAGGAGGTTGTTGCGATAGTATCTTGTTACTTTCTACGAGTTGCTTAGTAATACTATCTATAGACGAGGATATCTACGACGATGCTATCTTCCGCTTCTTCTCTTTCTCTTACCTAGCATAATTAAGGGCGGCGCGCTTCCTTAATGCTAGGGCGCGACTTCCTTCGGTATAGCTATTCTTAGAAGACTCGCTTTCCGCCGTAGAAGGTATCGGTAATAGCGACGGTAATAGCGACGACGACCCTCTTATTAGCGTATCTATACTAAGCGCGTGCTTACTATTAGTAGCACTCTCGGAGAATAATAACCTTAGAGTCTCCTCGTTTACGAGAGGTTTATACCGGAATTTGCTATACTTCTTTACATTTAATAGTATAGTAAAGAACTCGTCTATTAAGGCCTTCTTAGCAACTAGCAATCTAGTCTTAGGGTACTTGCTCTATCTAGACTTAGTTATAAGCGCTATCTATAGCTTATAATCGTTCTATAGTATATGCTTCTTGCTATTTACCTTGTCCTTATTTACCTTCGCCCTCCGGTTATTAGGCGCGACCTTAGCGACCTTATTAACCGCTCGCTATATAGCATTAGGCTTAAAGCCACCCTCGAGGTCCCTCTAACTATTCGAACTGCTCTATAGCAGTAACGACAACAGCGCCTATAACATGCCCTCCGTCTAACTTAACGTTACGCTATTAGCTCGAGAAGCCGCCGATCTACTACTCCTTCGACTAGCGACATTAATACGCGGTTCTAGCGTCTGCGAGCCCGGTAATATAGGATTACCTTGCGGCGTACTAAGGCGAGAATTTGGCGAAGAATGAGCCGGACTCGAAGGCGTAGGAGATAGCGAGAAAGAGTCGTTATTATAACCTAGACTTTAGCTCTAGTCGCTAGCTAAATCGAAGGGCGTAGACTCGTTAAATTACGCTAATTGCTACTAGAAGAGGGCATCATTAATTAACTCGTTACTAGCAATAGCCTGCTACTAGCTATCGGATAATATATTAGATAGATCTATAGTCTTCTACGGTCTATTCTATATACATCTAAACTAGTAAAGTCTTAGCGCTACGGCTTAGTAACACTACATCCTATAGGGGCTAATAACACGACAACTTAGCAACCGAACAGACACCTGTTATAGTAGTATTATAGCGCCAATTCTAACACGATATACAGTAGAGACAACGACCGTAGAAATCTACTATAACACTAGTTATCTATACTACGACAACCGGACGACCGAACGGGACCTAGGGTAGAGTTTAGAACTCAATCTAGGTTAGGGGGTCGGGTTAGGCTCGGGGTTAGGGTTGCTAAGGGTCCGGGCTTAGCGGCTAGGGGGTTAGGGAGGATTAGGGTACTATCGGATTTATTCGACCTAGTAAGTACCCTAATACTTCTACTAAATGTGTTTTTAGGTTAGATAGAGGCGTGCTTCTTTCTTACTTCTTTTTAAAGAGAAATAGTAAGAATCTAAAAATCTAACGTACTAGACTTAGAGTATATCTACTTCTATCCTAGTAGATCGGTAGATAGGTAGTTTCGTATATAATCTAGTAACTAATTCCTCTACCGACTTTTCTTACTAACTTAGCTAATTTACTTTCTAGTAGAAATAGATAGTAGTTACTATATAAAATTTAATTGATAGTCTAAGCGCGGTTTGCCTACCCTAGGAAATATAGCTATATACTAAAAACTTAGTTTTTTAAAAATACGTTTTTAGTAGTTAGTCGATAATCCTCGTATATATAGATATACTTTTATCTACTAAATACTCTACTAAAGTCTAATCTATTTATCTTAGAAAAGATATACTATAGCTTTAGACTCTCGGTAGGCGTTTTTAACTACCTTTAGGTCTACTAATCTACTAGGATAAAAGTAGATATACTTTTAGAAAAAGTAGTACTAGATTTTAGATTTTAGCCTTATCTAGATTAAATTATAAATAAGGCTATCTCTAATTGTTATAGTCTATAAGTAGGGAAGCGATAGCCTATAGGGGAAATAATTTACCCTCTTAGCTAATCTACTCGTATCTAAGGACTCCTTAATCGGTAGAATTAATAAAGTCTAAATCGTATTATACTATTCTAAGAGTAGATTAAGAGTTTTATAAACTAAGAGCCTTAAATATAATCTATTTTTACTTCTAATTCTTTACCTATTTATAAAATAAGAAATAAGATCTTAGCCGCGCGATTAGTAAGTACCTTCTCGTAGTACGCGGTATAAGTATCCTACTAATAAGGGAAACTAAGACCTACCTCTAGATAAGCGCTTTACCGATCCCCTATTTACCGATCTCTTATAACTTAAAGATTTATTTAGAATAATAATCGACGATCCGATAAATAATATATATTCCCTTTACTAATAGCTCTAAATAGTAGCTATATAATATATATACTAAAGTCTTTTATTACGAGTCTACTTATAACTAGGATTAGTAGCCTTATTCTAGAGACTTCTACTCAGACGTATAGCTTCCTATAGGGATCTAGAAGGGCTTACTAGACGGCGTCGGACTATTACTCGACTTAGCCTACTTTTATCTAACTCTTTAGCGCTTTCTAGATATTCTCTTTCTAAAATATAAGGAGTTTTAGATTTTTAAAATATTTATCTCCTAGCTAGGGCCTATATCTAGAGATTTATATCTAGTTAGATAATAGATATATATAGGCTTATCTCCCTAGTATAGATATTATAAAACGGGTTAGTTAAGTAGGTAGATAGTATAGTTAAAAGCGTATAGTATTTAATAAGGTCTATAAAGAAGAGAGAGGAAGGTTAGGGAGTTAGGCTAATAGCCTAACGCTAAGCGCTAAGCCCTATCTAAGGCATTAAGACCCTAGCTTTACTTAGCCGGTTATATGCCTTTTATATACCCTCTAATAGATATCTAGCCGGCGAAGCTAAGCGCTAATAAGGCGTAATATAAGGAGTAATAACGAGGGGTAGACCCCGCAGTAGTTCGGGTTGGTTTGGTTTGGTTTGCTAAGCCGAAACTCTAGTTTAGTTTGGGTTAGTTTGCTAAGCAACTATATAAGTAGCTGGTTCGAACCATATAATTTATCGGTTTTTAAGAAGTGTACGAATGTATACGTAGCTTCAAGCAAGCCCTTTGTAAGACTTAGTAGTGTAGCCGGCAGCGTAGCCGGCATTTTTAGTCCTTAGTACTTATAGAATTTTCGAATCCTACTTAGGCTACGTAGTTGTATAAAGGTACTTATATGACCTTAAATCTATAGACAATCAGCTAAGGGCACTAACCAATTAAAAGCATATATATATATATACAAGGTATTATAGTTTAGTTCGGAAACTGCACTCCTTAGGTATGAATTTCATCCTTTCGTTTATAGTTTAATTCCCTAACTGCTTAGTAGAATGTCTTTATCTAGATCTAGGCAGAACTTATCGATTTCCCTAGAAGTCCTCCTCCTTAAGAAGTTTATGCACTTTCCTACCGAACTATTCGACAATATTAAGTACTAGGATAGCTCCTCCCTCGGTATCGGTATAGTATATAAAAGAGCTATAAGGCAGCTCTATAGAACGTTCTACCAGTTACTCGCTATACTAAGGCCGAATGCTAGTTCGTTCCTTAGAACTCTTAGTTATTTAGGAGATATAAAGGGTAGGGTAGGTAGTAACTTCGTATTATATAAGGAGGTAGAGG